CACATAAAAAATAAGAAAAAATAACAGCAACAATAAAAAAAAGTATATCCTCGTCCTGACCTGCACATCGCAGATGGGGCAGAAGGAGGACGTGTGCAGGTAGCGCACGATGCACGTCTTGCAGAAGGTGTGGAGGCACTCGATGATGGTGGTGGCGTCGACGAAGTAGCCGGAGCACAGGACGCACACCAGGTGGGCGTTCAGCTCCGTCAGCTTCACCCGCCGGAGGGGACTCATCACGACGGGCGGAAGGATCTCTCGCCACGCCCTTGGTCTACTCCTACGACGCCCTCGCCCGAACCCACGCCCACCCGCCCCGCTCTCGGTCCCGCCTCAATTGTGCTGTCTCGGCGATCAGGTCCCGCGCTCAGCGACGTCCCATGCTGCTGGCGTGGAGGCGCGCCCATGTAAAGGCTCTGAGGGAGAGAACAGGAAGGGTTAGTATTATTGGCAGTGCATTTTATCATTACATACTTATTTATTATTATATTTATCATTCTTCTTCTCCTCCTCCTCTTTTTTTTCTGGGGGGGAGTATGATCGCCATTTTTAATTAAGATTTTCACGATCATTTCCACCGCACTGGCCATGTTCATTCAATTAATTCACTTCTCCATTCGCCCCCGCCTTGTTCATAAAAAAAAACATTCCCAATAACATTTACAATAACAAACACTACGCCAACAATTACACCACCGCAACAAGAAATCAATATGCAAAAGAAGCCACGATTTAAAAAGAACACACACAAATAAACACATGAATAAATAAATGGACACGATGTACCCTAATGCGCTTTAATACGCTTTAATACGCCAACACCAACGACCCCACACATCCCTCAACCGCAGCGCCACGATAATAACAGTAACAATAATAATAATGTCGACGATAAAAAAAGAGGGAGACAAAGAAAGAGAGAAAGAAAACCAATCGAAATCACAAACGTTAATCGTATCCAGCGTTAATCCTACGCAGTCACTCAACACCAACGTTAATCCAGGTCTCCTCCGTTTGAAAGCAATCACCGGTCGCAAGCAAACACTGTCGCAAGCAAACACCGGCGACAGGCAAGCACAAGTCACAATCAAACACCGGTCGCAAGCTAGCACAGGCCACAATCAAGCACTGTCGCAAACAAACACCCGCGACAAGCAAGCACTGTCACAAGCAAGCAAGCACCGGTCTCAAGCAAACGCTGGTCACAATCAAACACCGGTCGTAATAAAGCACTGGTCGCAAGCACACCGGGTCTCCATCGTTAACCGCCCATGTCATTTGCATCGATAATGCACCTGCACCCCCCCCCACCTCCTCGCCACTCCCTGTCTCCCTGGGCGGCGCAATGTTGGGTTTCTTTCCTTGAGGATTAGGAAAAGAGGGAGGCGAGGAGGGAGGGGGAAAGGAGGGAGGAAAAGAGAAAGGAGGAAAGGAAAGGGGGAGAAAGGAGGGAGAAAGGAGGGAGGAAAAGAGAGAGGAGGAAAGGAAAGGGGGAGGGGGAGGGAGAAAGGAGGGAGGAAAAGAGAGAGGAGGAAAGGAAAGGGGGAGGGGGGGAGGGAGAAAGGAGGGAGGAAAAGAGAGAGGAGGAAAGGAAAGGGGGAGGGGGGAGGGAGAAAGGAGGGAGGAAAGGAAAGGGGGAGGGGGGAGGGAGAAAGGAGGGAGGAAAAGAGAGAGGAGGAAAGGAAAGGGGGAGAAAGGAGGGAGGAAAAGAGAGAGGAGGAAAGGAAAGGGGGAGGGGGGAGGGAGAAAGGAGGGAGGAAAAAGAGAGAGGAGGAAAGGAAAGGGGGAGGGGGGAGGGAGAAAGGAGGGAGGAAAAGAGAGAGGAGGAAAGGAAAGGGGGAGGGGAGAGGGAGAAAGGAGGGAGGAAAAGAGAGAGGAGGAAAGGAAAGGGGGAGAAAGGAGGGAGGAAAAGAGAGAGGAGGAAAGGAAAGGGGGAGGGGGGGAGGGAGAAAAAAAAAAGGGAGCGAGACATGACTTGGAAAAAAATGATAATAAAAGAGAGAGAAAAAAGACAACGACGGAGAATAAGAACAAAAAAAGGCGAAGGGAAAATTTGGATATCAGATGTGGGTCGGGACCCCCTCCCTCCCCCCCCTCCCCCCTCCCCGCCTTTAGGGTCTCACAAGGAACTTGCCATAACCATTACCTCCCCTTGCTCCTCCCTACACGTTCCCCCTAAGGTGGTAAAGAGGGGGGGGGGGAGAGGAGGGGCAGGGAGAAGGAGAGAGAGCGAGAGAGAGCGAGAGAGAGAGAGAGAGAGAGAGAGAGAGAGAGAGAGAGAGAGAGAGAGAGAGAGAGAGAGAGAGAGAGAGAGAGAGAGCGAGAGAGAGAGAGAGAGAGAGAGAGAGAGAGAGAGAGAGAGAGAGAGAGAGAGAGAGAGAGAGAGAGAGAGAGAGAGAGAGAGAGAGAGAGAGAGGAGAGAGAACACAGAGAGGAGAGAGAACACAGAGAGGAGAGAGAACACAGAGAGGAGAGAGAACACAGAGAGGAGAGAGATGGAGGAGGGAGGAGAGAGAGAGAGAGAGAGAGGGAGAAGAGAGGGAGAAGAGAGGGAGAAGAGAGGGGGAGGGAGGGAGGCTAGGGAAGGGAACGAAGGAAGGAAGAACAAGAAGGGGGGGGGGAGGAAGGGAGAGGAAGGGACATCGGGTCGCTGGGTGGGTCATGGGGGGGAGGAGGGGAGGGGGAGGAGAAAGGTACCGTCGTTACCACCACCATCGCCAAGGGCTATGATCCCCCACCCCCCTTTCCCCGCCCTCTCTCCGTCTGTCCCTATCCCTTGTCTTTGCTCTCTCTCTCTCTCTCTCTCTCTCTCTCTCTCTCTCTCTCTCTCTCTCTCTCTCTCTCTCTCTCTCTCTCTCTCTCCAGAAGAAGAAGAAAAAGAAGAAGAAAAAGTAGACGAAGAACAAGAACAAGAAGAAGAAGAAGAAATAAAAGATGACGACGAAGAAGGCGAAGAAGAAAATCGAAGAAGAATAGGAGGAGGAAAGGGTAGAAGAAGAAAAGACCGGGCCGCCCGATTTCCAGCAGCGCGTAATGTCGCCGATCCTGACTTCCAGCGACCCCCCCCCAAGACGACTCCCCGCCCCCCTCCTCCTCCTCCTCCTCCCCCCTCCTCCATCCCCCCCCTACCACCTGCCCAAAAGGACGATCCGAACCAGATGAAGACGAACACTCTCTACCCTTCCCCCTCCCCCCTTCCCCTACCAGCCCCTTCACCCCCCCCCCTCCCCTTCCCTTACTGTACCCTATCCGTACCTCTACCCTCTCCTTCCCTCCCCCCTCCCCTCCCTTCCCCTTCCCCTACTGTACCCTATCCCTATTCCTACCTCTACCCTCCCCTCCCCTCCACCTCCCCCTATCTCCCGCCCCCCCATCCACCTCACCCTGTCCTGCACCTGCCCCTCCCCCCCACCCCCACCCTAACCCCCCCTAACCCTCACCCCCTCACCCCTCACCCACCCACCCATCCCCCCCATCATCAACCCACCCTATCCCTACCTTCTCACCCCCCCACCCCCCCCACCCCCCACCGGCAAAACAGGCAGGCAGGGTGGCCTTCCCCGGACAGATCATAATGATGGCGGTTCTTCACAAGCTCCTCTCTACTCTCTCATTAGGGGGGGGAGGTGAGGGGGGCGCCCGGGGAGAGGGGGAGGGGGGAGGAGGAGGAGGGGGAGGGGGGAAGGGGAGGAGGAGGGAGAGAGAAGAAGAAGGAGGGTGAGGGTGATAGGGAGAGAAAGGGAGAGAAGGAGAAACTGTGTGTGTGTGGGAGAGAGAGAGAGAGGGAGAGAGAGAGAGAGAGAGAGAGAGAGAGAGAGAGAGAGAGAGAGAGAGAGAGAGAGAGAGAGAGAGAGAGAGAGAGATGGGGGGGGGGGATGAAAGTTTAAAAAAGGCAGAGAAGATGAGACAAGCGATAAAAAAAGAGGACCTACTTCCTTCCCTCCCTCCCTCCCTCCCTCCTTTCGGCCAGAGCTCGGGGGCAGAGTGGAGAGAAAGAAAAAGAGAAAGAGAGGGAGAGAGATGAGGAAAAAGAGAGGATAGACATAATGAGAGGCCTCTGTGTGTGTGTGTGTGTGTGTGTGTGTGTGTGTGTGTGTGTGTGTGTGTGTGTGTGTGTGTGTGTGTGTGTGTGTGTGTGTGTGTGTGTGTGTGTGTTCGTGTGTATACCATTCATACCTTGAGTGCATTTACGCTCATGTTCGCGTATATACGTACCGGCAAGCGTAAGTACATATATAAGCGTATGTGCACACGTGTGTACATGTACGTATGTGCGTCCGTGTGTGCATGTATCATACCACAAAGACAAGAGCCATCAATCAATACGATCCGAAGCGGAATGGGCGGGGAAGGGGGCGGAACACAGGGAGTGGGGGCAGCCGCCACTGATCGATTTCCTGTGGTAAACATCCTAGGTCGAGCGAGGGGAGAGAGGGAGGGGAAGAGAGGAGGGGAGGGAGGGAGGAGAGGGAGGGGAGGGAGGGAGGGAAGAGAGGGAGGAAGGAGGGGAGGGAGATGGGAGGGGAAGAGGAAGGAGGGAAGGAGGAGGGAAGAGGAGAGGAGGGAGGGGAGGGAGGGAAGAGAGGGAGGGAGGGAGGGAGGGAAGAGAGGGAGGGAGGGAGAGAGGGAAGAAAGCTAGGGCGAAAGGGAAGGAAGGAAGGGAGGGAGAAAGAGAGAGAGAGAGAGAGAGAAGGGGAGGCAAAGACCCGCCTACAATCACCACCACCACCCCTGTCTGCCCCCCCCCCCTCCCCCGCCACCACTCACCGTCCCTTCCCCCATTCATAATCCGGGATGCGAGGGGGTGGAGGGGGGAAGAGGGGAAGGGGGAAAGGGGGAAGGGGGGGAGGGGGGAAGGGGGGGTGTTCCGGGTGCCCAGGTCGCGGGTGTAATAAACCGTGAATAATGAAACAGAAGGACAGTAACATGTACACGCAACGCACGCAAGTATCTACGGATTTTCTCTCTTCTACTCGAACGAACGCGCATGTGTAACCGCCCCCCCTAACCCCTAACCCCCAACCCCCAACCCCGACACACCACCCCTCCCCCCAAACCCTCCACCGAACGCCGATAAACAAAGGCACAAACAAATACAAATCGAGACATCATTTAAATAATAATAAAAAAAAAAACGCATTTAGATCATCAAACAAATAACACACAAATACACGTAAACAAAGGAGGCAAAACAAAAAACAAAAAAACAAGAAAAATACCGCACCGGCACCTCAAGCCTACAGAAACCACGTGGGTGACGAGGGAGGGAGTGTGGGAGGGAGAGGAGAGGAGGGGGTGGGGGGAGGTCAGGGGAGATGGAGTGGAGAGGGGAGAGGGGGGAGAGGGGGGGAGGGGGCAGAGAGGGCGCGCACACCCCTACCTGAGACCGCTAAAGGTGCGAGATAAAGGTGGCAAA